TTTATGGTAAATTTCATTTTTATAAATAGTCTATGTACTCAAATTTTGCTATGAAGATGGCTACTGCTTTATTTAAAAACTTGACAGAACATTAATAATGACTATAGAAAACATTAGTTTATTTTTAAAAAAAATTGTATGCAACCTCATGAATGTTTATTACCGTTTTAAATTTTTACCATTTCTATTTTCAGACTTTTTTAAATCCCCTCAGTCACAATTCTATGTCAAGTTCGGAAAAAAAGCCAAGGGTTCCAAGTAGACTAGGATACACTCATCCACATTTGTGCAATTACATGAATGAATATCCTGAATATCTTTTCATAACCTAAAATTGGAAAATGTTCATTCCTTTCTTATCCCAAATAGATTTCTTGAATTGATAAAAAATTCAATACTGTAAAAATCTAACAGAAAGAATTTTTTGAGACTGAAAAAAATGGTAAGAGAATGTAATTGATAGGGGTATTCTGTCATGTCATTGTTCATTTTAAAATTAATATTGTGAATTTTATGTGCAACACATTAAGTGCTCTTACCTTGGCATATCTCTACATCATTTGGTAATTGATCCACCTGTGCAATGGTAAAATAAGAAATTTATCTCTATATTTTTAGATAAACCTTACTACATAACATGCAGAAGCCCTGTCATTATTTTCCTTTTAAGAAAAATATACCCCTACCTTAATAGGTAGGGGTATATTTTTTCTTCACTAAAAGAAAAGTAATAACTTCAGCCAGTCAGGTGCCTGTGATTGCATGTTGGGAATATGTTAGGTATGTCAGGGGTGTGCAGTTAAAAAAATTAAATACTAGCCCACGGGCTAGTGGCAGCAATAAAGTTACTAGCCCCAAGTAAAAAGTTACTAGCCCAAATGTAAAGGGGGGGGGGGGTTAACAGAAAATAGTTTATTGTTGAAAAAGTCAGGGTTTTAATGTCATTCTTTTTAAAATTAAAGTTTAATTCTCACTAGTAAAATTAAATCATGTATAAATTAATAATTATGATAGAAAATAAAAATAAATTCAAATAAATTATCTACAATGAAATGAAAATCTTTTTTTTTTTCATCTTAAATCATTAAATACGCTGGAAATATATTTTATGTAAACCACATTACACTTATCTTTCAGTTGATTGAGTGATCGTAAATAATTTAATGAGATATCTGCATGTGTATTTACCATAAACAGAGGAATAGAGGAAATTCGGATAAGATAAAAACGATCGTTTTTGGAAGTAAATAAGTCAGGTAGCACTGCAAAATGGATAAGATTATGGAGATTAACGAACAGTAGGAACATGCTGCCGAATATATTTTTTCATATTTTGAGAATTTAATGGCAAATAACGAGTGAAAATACCGATAGTAATTTTCATGTGTCACATTGGTAGTTTTAATTTTTACTAGCCCAAGGGGCTACCTATGTGCAGAAAACTACTAGCCCGACCCCAAAAAATGGTAGCCCCGGGCGTCGGGCGATGCTAATTGCACACCCCTGTATGTTGTGAAATGTAGAGAGGCTGTGTGCCAGATCTTCACTAATTATACAGCAATTTTGATTTCCTTACATATCAGATGTGATTAACTTATATACAGTTATCTAGTTATTGTCAATTACCCCCATCTATCACCATCTCTGCTATCTTTACACTACATGAAATGATGCCCAACAATTTATGGACAAACGATTGTCAAAATTTTTATTACCTTCTCCTATATACCTCGCCAAAACATACAAAAGTTTATTATTATATAAAATTTAATAATTAACACTTCTGATTTATCAAAGATTATGTATACGATAGTTTTCTAAATGCAGCTCGCGCCATATCAAGTCGATGAAGACAGAGGAAATTCCAAATACATACAAGTATCATTTAAATTAATTGTTCCGATACTTATCCTACTGTTGTACACATTTACGTAAAAAATAGTACATTTTAATCAATTTTACATTTAAATCAAATTTACCTAAGCAAGACATCTATCAATGGGTAAATAAATCGAAGAAACTTACTTTTGCTCTTGTTGAGTTGACCTCGAGCGCTTCTAAGTCGCCATATTTTTTGGTCAAAACAAAACGCCGCAAAGATCAAGACTAACGGAAGTTGATTTTCGGAACTCTCGGGAGTTACTTATGTTAAATTTAGCGTTCCGAGTGTAAAACCGAGATCGAAATACGGTGAGTCCGTAGAAACAACTTTTTCAGACATTTTTTTGGACAAGTCATCGTGTCCAAGTCGTGTTGGGTACTAACCGGCAAATACCCAATTAAGGCATTTTAAGTAAATTTAGCGACACTTCTTATTGGGTATACCCAATTAGCAAAAAGTACCCAATAAGTACCAACTGTGTATAAAAAGAACCCAATAAATGCACTCTCGTAAACACGGACAGACAGACGGACTATAGACAAAATGTGATCGTAAAAAGCTCATTTGAGCTTTCAGCTCAGGTGAGCTAAAAATAGTTTTAAACAAAATATCACAATTACAGTCTGGGGCCTTATGTCATGGTCCGAATGGAGCAGGGTTCGAATTGACCAGACACCGTCGAACATGTTTCATGCTTAATTCTTTTCAGTCAGTTGAAGAACTATGAAGGATTTCATGAATTTATATAATATTTTTTCTAATTGCCAATGTCAAAGCGTTGTATTAGTGATTGCATCTAAACTACAACCAAGACTGTTCTGTTACAATTACGATCGAGTTACGATCGGGCGTGGTATACGGTATACTGGGAAATGGAGGAAATAGAGAAATACAGTAATGCTGGTCAATATCATCGGTTTTTAGGATAGAGTTGGTTAGAAGATTGTATAAGTAAAGCTAAGATTTAGAAATTCAATCTTTTTAGTATTCGTGTTTATGTAATTTTGTAATTATTTTACCTCCTGTACGTTGTGTTGTTTATGTTACACGGTTATCGTTCCGAAATGTTATTCATGTCATTCAACGCACCCTTTCTGTAGAAATTCATCCGCAACAACCATCACGTTTTTCTTGTGTGAGAATAAAACATAATATTGTTGTTTTGCAATAGAATTAATTGCAGATATAATTGATGCAATTTTATTTTCAAGCTATTATTCATTTTGAGCGTTTTCAAAGAAATTGGTTTATACCTATTGCTATTTTCTATTGTGGATGCATCGACTGACACATTCGGTCGCGTACATATCCGGTCGCGATTTCAACTGGGCGCTTGCTCCAAGAGCTCGACGTCATAAAAATCTACGTTGAAAGGTTGATACATGTAGATTGTACAAATATTTTGAAGCAGTTCGCTGCAGTTCAAATACAGTCTGTATACAAGCTCAAGAGGGGCGGGGTCGATTTTGGAATTGATTTCAGCACACTAGTATCTAGGGAAGTATACGGATTTTCGGAATAAACTTTTATGTACATGTAGAAAAGTAAATAATGTATGTTTGAATCGATATGAATAGATATTAAAATTTAAAAGCATTTGATTTATAAGTATTTCATTGGCTAAAGTGTGCACTCTATGTAAGGAGTGAAAGTAAAGAATAAGGAATAATAACCCAGCTAGCACAAAAACATTTTTAAAATGTTTTTAAACATTTTCAAAATGTTACAAAAACATTTTGAAAAATGTTTTAATCACGTGATTTTGTATGGTTTTTTAAACGTATTTAAAACATTTTACCCAAATGTTTCAGCAAATGTTATCAGAACATTTAATTAAATGTTACAAAAACATTTTTCAAAAAATGTTTTAATCACGTGATTTTGTATGGTTTTTAAACGTTTTTAAAACATTTTACCCAAATGTTTCAGCAAATGTTATCAGAACATTTTCCTAAAATGTTACAAAAACATTTTCCAAAAATGTTTTAATCACGTGATTTTGTATGGTTTTTTAAACGTTTTTAAAACATTTTACCCAAATGTTTCAGCAAATGTTATCAGAACATTTTCCGAAAATGTTACAAGAACATTTTTGCAAATGTTTTATTCACGTGATTTTGTATGGTTTTTAAAACGTTTTAAAAACATTTTACCCAAATGTCGTAATGACATCTCTTTCCTGAAATGTCAATAGACATTTTCAATAATGACATGAGAACATCATTTTGTATGATTTTAAGAGCGCTTATAATACATTTCATCTTAATTATAACTCTCAAAGAATAAATCACAACTGAATGAATTAATTTTTTTTTTTTTTTTTTTTTTACAAATTTTAATACAAACCCTTATGCAATATGCAAAACACGTTTTAGTTCCATTTCCAGTACAAGTTCTGAGTTATATTGTTTTAACCCAACAGGTATTTTTAAAGAAAAAAATCCATTCACTGAATTTAACAAATCCTTCCCATAAAAAGAATAACCAGGCCTAGATCACTGTTATCAATTACGATCCCGCAAAATGCATGTATCTACATGTATATGTGTAGGTTCCACAGAGCGGCGGATCTAGCTTTATATAAATGGAATCGCACACATAAACTTCACAAGAAGTCTGTCCTCGGAAAGAATTGAACAAGTCGCTCGATCTTTTCAGTAAAGCAGAACCTGTAAACATGGAGACAACAGTGTTTAAGTCATTTACTTCAGATCTTTAAATGATGAAAATATACAAGAACATTTTTTAATTAAATCATAAAATCACAAGAACTTTTCCCATTTGCATTATGAAAAGAATTAGAATTGTTGCTTGTTCATAACTATAACACAATAATATTATTGAAGAGCAATGATATTTACGTACAAAAAATTGCCTTTGTCTTTGTCAGCTAGAGGCAGTTCTTTCAAATATGGCAATTTGAATGGAATTCAAGTCTGTTGCTGGAACTGTCATCTAACTGCAATATGATTTAATGTTTCAATTATAAGATATTTTGAATTATGATCAACATAAGGTAAGGAGGTATATTTGTTGTTGCCTAAAGTATTTAATTCAAACACATAATAGCTTTGTCTTTGCTACACATATGCATACAAAAATACAATGATGTACTGGTAACATAAAGGTCATTTTTAAAAATTATCTTTTGAAATCTCTGATTAAAGTATACTCACAATGCAGATGTTAATAATCCGGCGCTCATTCTCCAGGCTTATATGATGCAAAAATCTTGTTTGAAAATCAGCGACAAGAAAACGCGCACATCCTGTTTACCAGAATTCAAATTTTGGCCTAGATAAGCTGCAAACCACTATACTCTATAACGCGCTGCCCAGAAGGAGAATTGCATAACAAGGTTATCTTGACCTGAAACTGACCAGTGAAGCCACTCCTAATCTGCTGCCTTGGAGTTTAAGAAATATGATGCAAACAGGCGAGACCGTCATAAATCAGGCTGTGTTAATTATTGTAAAGTTTGTTTATTATTTTGTTTTCTTTTTAAAATTAAAATATCTTAAATTTATTCAATGAACTTTGTATTGATTACAAGTCTGTGAACTCAATAAGACTTTTTAAAAAAAAAATGTATTATTGAAAAAAGAAAGAAAATACCGGGATACGCAAGTGATCGAGTTGCAGTAATATTAATGTCTTCGGAAAATTTTTAAAAGCAATTATTCATTTAATCCCAATCTTCTCTGGATATTCTATGCATTTTTTTCTCAGACAATTGGGTTAGTCGTGAATATTTTCAAAACATTTTGAAAATTACATTACAAAATGTTGCATTAATGCTAAATAAAATATTATAGTCTTTAGAAGAATAAACGTTAAAGTCAATGTTCTAAAAACATTTTTACAACATACTTTGAAAATAAATAAATGCATTAATATTGAAAATGATATAAATGTTTTAAAAACATTTTGAAAATGTTTCTATAAAATGTTGCATAAATCATAAATAAAATGTTTCAGTTGTAGGAGGAGAAAACGTTTTGTTAAATGTTTTAAAAACATTCTCACGACCAACACTTGAAAATATTTAAATATTATACTATAAGCAGTATGTAGAATGTTTTAAAAACATTTTGACGACGTTCCTTCAAAATGTTTTAGAAAAGTAACATTACAATGTTACAGATATATAGAAGAGGAATGTTTTATATTATGTTTTAAAAACATTTTTATAACGTAATATGAAACTGTTTAATATATGCAAACAAAACATACCTTTCGAATCATTTTTAAAACGTTTCAAAAACATTTTATAGAAATGTTCCTTAAAGATTTTACCTTAACCATTTTGAAAACATTTTTAAAATGTTTTTAAAATGTTACAATGGGAAAGAAAAATGTTTTTAAAACATTTTAAAAATGTTTACTCTGAAATGTTTTGAAAAAACCTTTTTATAACTGCAGTAAAATGTTTTGAAAATGTTTTGTGCTACCTGGGAACAAATGGTTTACTAAAATTAAGAATGAATTTGATAAGTTTGATTTAAGTTATCTCCTGTTCCAAAACTTTGATACTCATAGAGCGTATGTTATAGTTAAGCAAAGATTCTTTGATGTGCATGCCAAGAAATTCTTTACAATATTAAGATATCCACTAAGGGAAAGTTGTATCAATACATATTGGACCATTTTTGTTTACAGTATTATTTATCAAAACCTATTAAACATGTAGATCTATACCAAAAACGTATCGCATGCTTTAGATTGTCTAGTCATAAATTACAGGTTGAAGAAGGTAAATATGTTAATGAAAATAAAAATAACAGAATATGTTTATTATGTGACATGAATGATTTAGATGAATTTAATTTTATCTTAAAATGTCCTGAATATCATGTTCTTAGAATACAATATATCAAACAATATTATGTTAAAAAGTGTCTTTAAATTAATACAATTGTTAAGTGTTTAAAATGTCAAAGAAATGTCAAAATTGGGAAGATTTTTGTTAAGCGCTTCACAACGAAGATTAAAACTACTAAATTGTTTGTAGCATATAATATGTATGTACATATTTAAAACATAATATATTATAACAATGAAAGAATCGAATAGTTTCATATATGTAGGTCTATATATGTATACATGTATATACAATGTATATAATGTAGCAGGTCTACTGAAATTATCATGCATTTATTTACTTCCATTTTGTATATTTTGTGTCATACTATCTGATGTGCCATATGGCATAAGAAAAATAAAGAATAAAATAGTTCCCTACCTTTATTTTTAATACCCCTTGCCCAAGTTATGTCAATCGACGTATTATCAAGTGACAAAAATCGTCTGAAGTTTGTACGTCCATTTTGTCAGTGTTCAGACATTTATAATTTATAATTTTTTCTTGCAATTGTCTTTGAATCAAATAATTTGTTTTAATACATAAAAATGATTTCTATTCGTTATGTTAGTCCAATTTTAATATCATTAAATTTGCTTATTTTGATTAATATTTTTAATTAACATTTGATAACTGAATAATGTATCAAATAATTTTTTCTACTTTAATGTTTTCTTTGATTTTTTTCTTGTGGAAATTCTTTTAAATGTTAAATATACCTTGGCAGCCAATTTGATGCTTTGCATCTTGTATTTCGTGTAACGTTGTGTCTTTTGTCCCATCTTCAACCAGGTGCGTAGCTTGGGAGCCAATGTTGTTATTTCTATACACACTCAAAAGAGCGATGCTTTCAAAATTTAAAAATCAATACCAAAGAAAACCCATCTGTAACACGGTAAAAACAATACCTTGCAAGCTGGTTAACGGAGTAAATACACTTGTTACAATAATACAGAGACATAAATGTGGATGGATACCAAATTATTCATCAATATAATCCAACTTCATTCTGAAAAGCTTGAATGCCTTTTCAAACTTCTTTATGATTCAATTAATATACAGATTACAACACAAAAAAATAATATACATGTAGCACCTTTTTTATTTGCGTTTTTTAATATCATCATGCGATTGCAATCATAAAGTGACGAAATTCAGCACAGAATCCACCGTGCGTAATAAATACATGACTGTACATGTATAACTAGCACCCTATTCATATTTGAGCTACTTTAACGGATTTATAAAATTGTCAACTTCCTTATCACTGAGCTGCTCGCTGATGTCCTGCACATATCCTTTAAAAATATGAAGAAGTTTTGTCAAAGCCTTTGCAAACATTCTTAAACTTAATACTGTTCAACAGGAATTTTACCACCAACCTCCTTTACGTATTAGATCTACATCTTTCCTCTCGTGTAATATTTATAAGTTGTCTTAATTTTTATCCAATCGTTCGACTTCCCCAAAAATCACTTTTAGTCTTTTTCCTCTCTTCTTCCTTCGGCAGCCATTTTATCCACTTGTTCCTCTAAGTAGTCGTCTGCGAAATCTGCCGTCTGCTTCAAAGCTTTCAGGATCAAGATGTCAATATTGGGTTCCAAACTAGTTTCACTCTCGTAGTTTTTGATTGGCATAATGTAGCCACGTGGTAGTCCCATGACGTCAGCAACCTTGTCGACTGTGTCACGAACGGCTTGGCTGTAAAACATATTGGATGCGTCCTCATTGACCTTTGCGCAGACTTTGTCCAGCTTAGTCAAATACACAACCTGGGGAATATCTGTTCAATGAAACAATAGGACAAGTTTACAAGTAGCTGAATAACTTCGGGAGAAATCTGAAAAATCAAATAAAAAAAGTATAGTAATATTTTACTATAGAAATTGGTGATCTCCACATTTTTCATGATTGCTACTTTGTACGTAAGTGTCTTCATTAAAATGAAAAATTTATGAAATGGAGTTACAGTATTACTGCTGGTGTTATTTGAGTACAAATCAGAGAGGTTCACGCAGTGATCTATTTCATAAAACTTAAACATAAACAATACAAATTGTGAACAGGACAAATAACACGGACCTGAAAAACTCCAGAGTTGGAACAGTGCCTAGGAGTAGCAGGCATCTCCTGTAGACCGGCCCTGCCCGCCATGAGCCCTATTTATTGCTCAGATAAACCAATTAATCCGGAATAAAATTTATAATTAAAACAATGACGTTACCATTGGTATAAAGTACGACACTCAAAATACGACCCAACGATGGGTTGTATAAGCAAACAAGGTCATTATAACGACCATAAAATTTTCAAATTGTTGACTTTAAACGAAGTTACTCAGAGAAGAAGGGTGAACAAGGCAGACAGAAAGCTTATAGTGCGACAAACATTAAGGTGAAAAATTAAATCTCAATTATATCAAAAAAATTTCTTTGATACGTCATCTAAAATTAAAGTATATCTACAATTTGCAAAAATTTTACAAAGATTGAAATTATTTGCCTATGAAATGGCATACACCTACTAATGAGGGCAAAAAGGATACTAAGTAATTTTCTCGTACTTCTGTATGGGTTGGTCTTCGCTCCATTTTTTAAAAGTAAAAATATACATTTTTGGTTAACAGAAACATGGAGCAATGATTCACTGTATCTTAAAAAATAACTTTTTATGACACAACATTTATTCAACATTTTTCCGAAAATACTGAAGTCCAGTTAAACAAGGGTCATGTCATAAACAAGATTTAAATGCCAATATTTTTCAGGACTTGTATAGAGTAGTGGGTAGTGTGTTAGTTACAAAGAAAAAATGAATATGATTTTCATACATCTGAAGCTAGAGGTATTCTGCATGCTTTGTTCGCCCAACTTATTTGTCAGTAACCTGCCTTGGTAAAATTAAACATGCTCAGAGCAAGTTCCTGCGTATTGAATAAGTTGGAAGATGTATGCACCATATATGAGCATCTACGTCTACTACTAAGACCAAGTAAATCAAAAAGATAGTGTTTCCTTGAAGTTCCTTCTGTGCTTGGTTCAAGACAGTATTTATAAACATGCTAATTTTTACTCAGAACTTTTCCTTCTATATTTCTCAAAAATGCTTTCCTTTATTTCAAGAAATCTTAATGTTGTCAGTAGAATTTTTTTTCAAAAAACGATGCTTCATTCATATCTGAGTGTTTATAAATGCTACCCCCACCGTCGTTTAATGCAGTTTCCCATAGCCTCTTTCTGTATTTTCTCCATGACTTTTTTTAACCATCACTGTGTATATTTCACAGACAGTCCTGTTTTGCTTTTGTGAGCAGTCGTTTACTGTTAAAAAACTTTCAGGGCAAAAACATATCGGATACACTAAATTCATCAAAATTTAACCATTATCATTTGTATTTCTGTAGACAAGTGCAATTATTCTTTGTTCTTAGCTGTTTTCAGAAATTTTCATAAAAAAGGGGAAAGAAAATATCTAACAAAACTTTCTTATACTATGCATATTTGATTTTTTCCCCTCCAGATAAAGTTCAATCTGCATCTCAATTTTACAACAAATAATTGTGAGAAGAAAAGAAACTAATACGCTTAATATTTTAAGTGTTTATTTTTTATCATGTAAGCTTTGTATAAGAATACTCGTACTTCTCTGATTCATCCTGCCCTGAAGTTCCTTTAGTTGTTTGAGGATTTTTTCGGGCATGACGTCAATTGTACTTCCGTCCACTACAAACGCCACACAGTGGATTTTATCACCAAGTCGAGGGTTCCGAATGAAGCCAAAGGTCTCGGTTGTAAACGGTGCTGATGGATTAAACTGAAGACAAAATAGTCATTCTTATCATCGTTTATTAAAAAAAAATTAACTATCTAAAATGCCTTCCATTATTTATCCAGTTCGTCTGACTATTCAAATGATGGTTTATTTCTCGGAGGCTTTCTTAGATCATACACACACGGAAATAATTAAACAATCAAATGTGTCAAAATTTATTCAAGAAGAACTCAATCATTGAGAATGTATATGGAATGCATTGATTTCAATTAATCTTTAAAATGTGGTAGTTTACTCTAAATTTATGATTGGTATGATGCAAAGGCTAATTAAGTTGCACGATAAATTTTCATACTCAGTTCCAAGATTAGTAAAGACATCAGGCACAACAAAACGAAATTCTGGCCCTTGGAAAGGATATCTAAAAATCCATTCTTTGGTTATCACGATATGTGTTTCAACGGATTATATATTCTATTTACTGTATATAAACAAAAAAGGCGCGGGCAAAGCTAGTATTCGCCTTTGTGATAGTGGCCATACCTGGTATCTGTCCGGTACGTTACCGTCCAGTATATAAGCTATCTCCTGAGCGTCTATTGTAAAATCCTCCTCCAGACCCCGAGTGTCACACAGGCGAATCTTCAGGTTATGACCTGAGTTCTGGTCCTTGATGGTGTATTTCCGGAACTTCAAATAAAAAAAAGGTGATTTTTTTTTTTACCTGTTGTCTCTCACACTAGGACTGTAAGGAACATATGTGCCAACCTATATAACTTTCTAAAATCGTCAACCCCTCTTCTCCTTGGGGATGGGGGAGCGGGCAATATGCCTAATAGATGTAAATATGGACTTGAATATTTAAATCTCAGTAATTTCTTGTGTATATATAGATGTTCGACAAAGTTTCAGTTTCGTGTGTTACATGTAACTGTAGACAACAAAGTCTTGTCTATCAAGTAGAATTACAAGGAATCTTACCACTGTTGTGAGGCTGTGTTCAAAGCTCCCACTCCGAGCCTTACTGGTGATTTTCCCGCGAAAAATTGAGTTGACTGAGTTAAAGAAGCTGGATTTACCAGCGCCAATCTGTCCAATCAAAAGGATGTTTGCTGCAGTCACATTAGCCTCGCTTTCAGGTTCATATTCCACAACTGATTCTTTAAGCTGCTGCATTGTCTATAGATCAAACAAGTAATAGCTTTTCAAAAAGCTTGTCTGGCTAAAGCAATCAATATCTATAAAACATATAAGCATGCATATGATTAGTAATAAACATTTTGTCCATTTTTTTTTTTTTTGGGGGGGGGGGGGGCTCAAAATATTTCATTCAATTTGAAGACTTCTACAAAACAACGTGATTTTTTTAAGTTAAACTTGTTTATGACTCATCAAATGAATGGAAAGTAAACAAAATTTATGTGAAGATATATATTGTTTGTATCTCAATTATGTACAAGTACAATGCACATGCATATGGATAAAAGGATGACTGCAGTTAACGCCTGTTTTTGGGTCTTTTTCGGTTGTTTCTGTTGCTTTTATATCTAAACCTTATCTCCCTTTTGTATGTTTATGAAAAAATACTGTCAATTTGGAACCACATTTAAATCTTAAAATGATTTTAGACTGTGATACAATAAAATGGTTCAATGTTTTTTGTCCTTACTGCTTTCCAAATATAGAGAATTTACACTTACCTGCCCTTGATTGAACATTAGATATGCATGAGAGGTGGAGCTAACATTGTATGCTACCTTACAAGTCACGTGACGGAATTTAGTATTCACAAAGTTACCTGAGGTAAGAAATTACGTGATGAATTATAATATTCAACATGTCACAATCCTTGGTTACGACACGGAGAGCAAATGTAAGAAGAAGCAGTTTTTCTCTTTTTTCTCTTTTTATTCATGAGCGCATGTTTGTCTATTAATCTCCTTTTGACACATTTTTATTTATGCAAATATACAACTACTGTTAAACGTAAAACAATAGACAAACATGCGCTGACTATGTATAAAGTCAGTAAAAAAGTGGGCTTCCTCATTATCGAACGGAGATTCAAGAAATTGTGATGACCCCCGCCTTTGAAAACAGATTCGAACTTCGTAAATACACACTTTTATTAAACGTAATTACATAAAGTTGTAGATTGGATGTTGACCATTCTTGCAATGAAAAGAAAAATGTTTGTTTTGAAAATTTATTTTGTCGTAAATTCCGCATGTCCTTAAGTGCAGTCATCCTTTGAAAGAAGTTAATATGACATGATATAATTGAAGATTCTTTAAATGGTTTAAAATCAAAATGAAGTAAGTAAAGAAAAAAAATTAGTTAATTTATTTGATATATTATGCTGGGCAGATGTAGCTGTGTAAAGGTTAATAATTAACTAATATAATATATTAGTTTAAAATACATAGAAATAACAACGTTTTCAAAAAAATAATACTAGGAGTAAGGAAATATATTGATGAACATGGTTCAGTTAAATGTAAAGAAAAGCTGTGTATAAGGTGCATGGCAAAATGTATCACACCCAAAAAAATTTAACCAAATGTTGACAAAAGATTATCAGGATAAAAAAAAGTGCACACTAATGAACTGAAACGCACAAAAAAGGTTACACGGGTTTGTCCGTATAGGGAATCGCATGGAATAAACAGTTGCATACAAAAAAAGGGGCGCAAACACATCAATATTTTGCACCAGTAATATGATTTTTTCTTCTTAAACAGTTGTTGCAGGTAGCAAATTTCGATGTAAATCTGCTTGCACAAAATTTAGCCCTTAGTTTCGCACCGTGGAAAAAATTATCCTTAAATTGCCTGACACTCGTGGTGCCGTGCATCACGATAAAGTTTTGATGAATGTAAGTAAGCAACCATAATCTAGGATGAACAGGTTTGGTAAAATGAACCGAGGAAAATTAGACGTATAGAATTATATTACAGTACTACAAATAATCATATAAAAATGAAAACTGGGGAAAATAATGTTCCAATAAGTATATTGTAACAGACAATGGCACAAATGCATAAAATGAAGATGCAGGAACACTCTAATTACAAGTCTTGCTGTTTTGGAAAAGTAAGCACTTTCGATTTTCTTAAAAAATATATTGCTTTACAAAACTTTGCCTGACTCATAAACTGGATGGTCTTGTGGTTCTTCTTCGGAGGATTATTAAATGATCCCAAGCTAATTTACCATTGTTACTTACACTGATTCTCACTTTGAAGAGATCTTCATTTGAACGTTATCAATGTTTAAGGATTTTTTTTCTGTCTTGACACACTAGTTTAGAAAAAGTCAAAAACTAGAAAACTTAACATACAGAGGGAAGAAAAACGTAGAACAGAAAAGCTCCCAACACCTTTTTGGAATGACCAACAATTAAGCTGAAATGACCAACCCCAACACCTCCCCTTCAAAATAAAACCTGTTGGGCGTCAAAGCCTTTGAGGTGCTTTTAAACAACAGTATATTCCTACCTCCTCATCTACGGAAAACAACCCCATCCCTCGCTTCAGCCCCTGCCCATCATGATTTTATATTAACACGAAGTTTTCCTTTAAATTTTATTAAATGTAAATACCTACATATAAAATGATGCGGGAATAAGATCTACCATACATTGTAGGTCATGTTTTACTTGAAATTCACTGATTTATACTGAAACGCAAAAGAAACGCAACATCCTATTTTAGAGGGGAAAATTATATAAAGGATATAATTTTGTATCTAAAAAGTACGGATATCTTCAACTTTGTAAGTATCGATAATTTAACGGTTGAATGATTTTCATGCCATAACCGGAAGTTAAGTTTGAGCGCGCTGAACAGAAATCAAAAATTGGATGTTTAACAAAACATTTGACAAAAATATTAGGTTTTAAGGGTTTGTATCTGTTTATCATAAGTAAGGGCCCTGTCACACCAAGCTGCGTCCACACGGAGTCATTACGGCGTTGTAAAAATGTTAAAATCGCAGTGGAATAGCAGGGAAATCGCACAAATTTCTGTAAAATTTTTACAATGTGAAGATGTCACGGCGTCCCTAAGGCGACCCACGCGTTTCTACGGCGTTCTCGCGGCGTACTACTGCGTTCCCAACGGAGATCTCTCTGTGATTGACTGCGCTTCCGCGGAGCTTTTACGGCGTGTTAGGAGTTGTCACCTCGCGTTTACGGCGTTCTCACTGCGCTTGCTGCGTTCACAATACGTCCACGATGCGTTCTTCACTATGGATATATAATCAGAAGAAGTGTAACACATTTTTTTTAAAGATTCGAGTCACATAACGCAAAGACTTCAAAAATGATGTTAGTTTTATAATCAAAATCCTTCTTTTTTCAATTATATCAATTCAGATGTGTTTTTTCTTTGATTTTATTATGAATGTAAAAAATAAACACACTGAAAAGTTGTTATAAAATTTAAGTAATTCCATCGCAACTCCACTGAAGCAACAGAACAGGTTCTGGTGTAACTTTACTTCTCAATTCTACTCCCATGCTCCTGGCCAGGAGTGCAACAAATACGTTAGAATTATTGCTGATCAAATATGAGGCCATTTCTCTTGTTTTGTGAGCTGGCTGAAAACGCTCTAACAACGCCGTGAAGGCGCATTGTGATCGCCAACGTACGCGGTAGAAACGCCAAGGAAGCGCAATGATCGCAGTGACAACTCCTTGTTGTCGCTGTGTAATCGCAGTCAAAAAACTCACAAGACAATTTATCTCATTAGAAGCGCCGTAAAAGCGCGATAGAAACGCCGTGATATTCCAAGGACTCCGCGAGGTCTCCGTGGAAGCGCGTAGTCTACTATCACTGCGTTCATGCTGCGATCATGTGCGTCTTCATGGCGTGCGTATGGAGCTCCCACTGCGTTGTTGGAGATCTCACCGCGCTGCTACGGCAATCATACTGCGTTTCTACTGCGTTCTTATCAGACGGCGATCACATGGCGCGTGCTTTGTGCATGCCCAAAGCGCGCACCTTCCCCTGGCGTTCTAAAAGACCCTACGCGACCCTACCGCGTTCAGTGGAGATCTCGCCGCGTTGTCACGGTGCTGTAGGAGACTCTACTGCGCTCACCTAGGCGTTGTGCATTTTTTATGGACGCCGTGAGGACGCAGTCCCGGTGTGACAGGGGTTTAATGCAGCAATATTCCGCAAAATAAATTCTTCTTTCGTTCCGGAAGAGATGCCAAGGCTTCCTGAAAATGACTCAAGTACGCATTTCAAATGCTCTAGCTGGAAAATCTGAAAATAAAGGTGATGGAGAATTGCAGATGCAAAAATGCACGACAACATGCTTCAACAGGCTCATACGTATCATTAGCATGAATGATAGTCCGTGGACCGAAAGTCCTAGTGTTACTACAATGCGCTAGGTTACAGAAAATTCGACTTTGTCATCTGAAAAACGGACATTTAAAAATGGCAAAGGATATTTTTTTCGCTCAGATCTCAAGATTGTTGAACCTATTGCATCGAGGAAATCAAGCTGCAATTGTTGTGCATGGCAGTCTTCCACGCTATAATTGAATGGCTGAGAAGGGGGGTGTTTTAACAGTCATGTGTTACTTTCTAAAGTTAAAAGATAATCATTTAACATTGTTATCAAATCTCTGATGTTTTTAAATCGAGTTTAACTCAACTGTAATCAGTTTTGAAAATCATTAGTTTAAAGGTTCAGATATTTGTAGATTACTGCTTGTTACTTTTCTTTTGCGTTTCAGTATATTTTTTTTTATTCATTGCATTATCAACGGAATTCAAACCCTTCTTTTAAAGTCCCCATTCTCAAACCCTTTATAAAATGTAACGATAATCAATTATAATGCAACAGAATTAAAGAAAAGACAATTTGAGATAACAAATACACCAGATATCCATAGCATATATCAGTTCAAAATTTATGCGTTTCTAGTTACATGTCGACGACACAAAAAAACCTAGTTCATTTTTCTAGTCGTAGAGTAGAGCACCTTTCCACAAAATCGCAATAGATTTTGATATGTTATCCAAAATTCGCTCCTTAAAATTTTAACCTGAGTATGATATTCAATTTATAAATTTCTTTTTAAAAAGAAATTGATTACAAATGAATGTTATACCTTTACATCAAAGTCTGGAAATTTTCTCCAAGGGTTGTCCAGAAGTTCTGAATCCATGGTTGCCTTGTTTGGATCAGGTCCGTCTTCAAAAGAAAATATAACTCATGTTTGTTCATTTTACTAATGCAAAAATACAAATTTCAAAGTATATATTTTGTACATTCATGATACAAAAATGTTGCTTTCTAAAGTTAACGACATAAAACAAACTTCCCAAGATACACATATCTTATTACATGTAACATTATAATGTTTATTATGGTATCACTGCTGGTTTATGGTGTAAAACATTTTGTATGAAAATTTCATTACAAAGAATCACCTTTTACAAGAAACACTTCTAGATCCGTCACTTGAAGAGAATTGTTAAACATAGTATTAGCGTTTTGACCATTTAAATTGTAGGAATTCCCCACAGCGTGGAGATATCCGTTTAATGGAAAATAATTTCCAGACTTGGTGATGGTTCCACTAAACGTGTGAATATCATGCCCGCCACCAAATGTCGGCCCATAGTTGCCCCCACCATATCCAGCAGAAGTTGCATTAGTGACAGGACACTTTAACGGGTTTGAAGACCCGTTATACTGCAGACGAAACAGAAATGCATTTGGATCGTTGATATAACCTCCACTAGAGTTCCAGCTTTGTGACAGGTACCCCCCGTAGATAGTGTTGTTAGTGTTGTATAGAACTGTTACTGTTGGTCCCTGACCGTTACACTGTTGGTGAAATGTTGTGGCTGAACAACCATCTCTGCTGATCTTGTACAGTAACCGAAAGTGACAAGTCTTGCCTATCCATGTCGCCAACTGATCCCTGTATATCCGGTCCAGAAGCTCAGTCATACTTCTGAGATTTATAATTGAAGTATTATTTTTTATTTATTTGATTTATCATTGTTATAATTATTATTTATTACTTGACAATAGCTGCTGCACTTACATAATATTTAAAACTTTATTTTATTTGAACAGATATCCCTTCTAATTCATTTTTATTTAAGGAATGAATTTAATAGCTACCCAATTTATACGGTATAAAATGGGTTGGGCAGTTTTCGCTATATAAACAGTGAAGCTATTAATTTGATTCCTTATAATTTAATTTTCATTCATTTAGTGTAAGAAATAAAGATAACTTCCGTTTTTTTAAAAAATGTCTTCAAATTGTACAAAATCTAAATGTAACATCAGACGGATCGATACGTTTCAGGGATTTATCAGTACCTTCTCAAGGGCCGAAATTCGGCCCCATTCCCAATTGAAAATGAGCTCATTTTTTCCCAATTTGGTTGTATTTTTTCCCAATTGGTGAACAATGCTTTTATATTCAATTTTCTTGGAAAAACAAAGAGTAAAATTGTCAGATTGTCCGTAATTTTCATCTATTTAACTCATTTAGCAAAGCTAAAGTCATAACACATGTTTAAAAACACTGTAAAAACATCGCCAACTTTTAACCCGAATTTCCTCCGTTTTTCTGAAAATGGTGATATTGTGTAATTATATAGATTTATCAAGTTATTTCCACCTACTCAATTGATCTACGAATGAATGGTAAGGACTGTAGGCATTATTTCAGATAGAAAAATATTTTTTCAATGTTTTAATACATATTAAACATTGTTAAAAGAGGATTTTGAGAAAATGTGTACTTTAGTATAATTTTTTGCAGGAGGTTTATATTTTCCAGAAACAGATTCTATAATGACCTAAATTGAAATCTCATACACACATGTACTACCCTAAGTTGTATAAATACTTTATACTCATTGAAGTAAATTTTACTTTTATTAGTCTATTATTCATAATTGATCTTGTATGATGAAGTTGGGTCATATTTAATTGTCTGTTTGGTTGCCCAAATTAGAGTTCATGCTGAAATGTTTAAAAAATGAATTACACTTCAATACATGATTTAAGCAACATTTTTAATTTTTCCCAATTTCATCAAATAGCCGATAATTTTTTCCCAATTCCCAAAAAATGGCATTTCCCAAAATAAGCTGATAAATCCCTGCGTTTTGACGCAAGTCAATGTGACCTAGGCAACCCAATTTATACGATATAAAGTAAATTTTTTATCCATGCAATCAAATACTGCGTTATAACCAAAATTAAATCATTTTAATATATCAATAATCAATGTTTATTATTGACTTAATTTTTTTTTAAATCCCTACAAATACAATTCTCTTTTTATATTAATGGTAGAAATGAAAGGAAAATGGGTAAATACACGCGAATTAAGGACAAATAAACCATTGTGACAAGGTGTGAACGTAAGAGACTTATAAAACAATCTTTCCGGTCCATGATCCGCGTCTTGCATAAATTCTATCGGTAATGCTGCATTAATGTTGAAAATATCCTGGAAGCGGGGCACCCTGTTTGTTTATAAGACATTGTTTTTCAGATTTTTCACCTTTGGTATTTTTATATACCGTAGAGGGGCAAATGAATCTTTAAAACTTAACAAAAACGGAAAATGATATCAGATATAAGAATATAATGATATGCTAGGAATTCATGTACTTGTACTTTTTATATTAAGTTATCGATCACTGTTTGTTATCTTCACCTTTTTTCATTCAAAGGAAAATTCTCTGAAGGACAGTGAAAAAGGGGGGGGGGGGGGTTACATCAACCATTCGTCAGATGCCTGTGGTAACACGAGCAACGACTGAGTGTGTAAACATCCAGAATTTCGTTTGAAATTGTAAATATGAGTGATAGTAGCTAAATAATTCTGTGGTGATCACCAGAAATTTGATGGTGACCGCCAAGTATTTATTTGGCGGCCACCATTTCATGGCGGCAATTTTTTTTTTCACATATGGCAACTACCTGCTTTCGTACCGTAATACACTGTACATTTGGGGGGGGGGGGGTATTACTGGCTTGTTCTTTATCTGAATATCTTGCCACCAAAAACACAATCAAAATTTTACACGTGGGAGATTTAGTCCAAAATTATAAAGCTTTCAGTTATACGCAAATTACTACTCCTCTTTGAACGGTCATCGACTCATCAGAAACTTGACATATATTGGGAGTCATGTTTAAGTAGTTCACCTTTTGCTCGGTTAAATAATCGTCATTATCTATTGCAATCCGAGGAACATGAAAAGAAAATGTAAATAATAACTTATTTAAAAGATGATAATACTTACCTTCCAAGTTATAAACACGTTTTGTGTTTACTTTCGTTTTCGTTTCATTGAATAGTGTATGGCGCTCACTTCGTGTCTTTAACGAGATTAGATCCTTCAGAATTTTTTAAGTACATTTTCATTATATTTACATTTGCTGTGTTTTTCTGCTAACCCAACTGTGAAATTGATTTGAATGCCATTTTTGTGTATACCCACACGTATAAATATGCACGGAGAAACTCGCGCTAAAATGATGTCACAATGAGCTACAGAGACGTTAGTTAAAATGTAACGGTATAGGGCAGCGAATACTTCAAACATTTAGTATATTTTTGGTGCTTTTGAACATGTAAAAAGTAAATATGAGGAATGTTTTTAAGTTTAGTGTGAATTATTGGTGTGTAAATCACACAGACTTGCACATAGGCATATTTAGCGCTTCATGAAATATGCCTACGTGACAAGTCTGTGTGATTTACACACCAATAACTCACACAAAACTTAAAAACATTCCTTAAATCTACACACATAGCTTAATTAAAAATCAAAACAAAAAATGGGGTTTAATATGCTTCTTTTGGAGCTACGGTACATTTGATATGACCTTTTTGCACTGAAACTGTGTTTTAATTAAGGAATGAATTTAATAGCTACACATTTTATACGGTATAAACACCGTTCACGGTAGCGCTACATTCCAAGCAATGTTTACGATTAAAACTTGGAAGCAGTAACCAATCGCTACCTAAAGTCCTTCCAAGAATCAACCAATCAGAATGTAGCCTTCTTCCAAGATTCTTCCATGATTAGCATAAACCCTCTGACGTCAGTGACCTCATTTTCAGCAAGCGAGCTGTCGGCTGCATGTCGCATGTCACCAGACACAACTTATTATTGCCAGTAAAAAGTTTTTTAGATAGTGGAAAGAAAGAGAGTTAAATAGGTAAGAGCCATGAGAATGCATTACTTATTTTATACGTGCAAAAATTGACCTTTGAGTATGTGCGCATATTGCCGAAAGTAGGAAATCGGGAAAATTCCCACGATTTGTTGTTCGTTAAAACTACCAATTTTTGTATCGAAATAGATAATAACTAGGTTTATTTAAACAAATATGGCATACTGTTTAATTTATTAGTAGTATCCAATGCAATCCGCTTGAAAGTAATTAAATTATGTTAACTCTTGAAAGTGTGTATGAAAACTAGCGCCCATCAGCAGTCTAGTCGAACCCCCGAACGGGGGTATACCCCCAAACGAGGGTTTTCCGTCCCGTCATGCAATGCGCAAGAACAGTAACTCTTGCCGTATCCAATATAAACAAACTTGCCTATATATCATTTATCTAAGGAAAAAGATCGATAATAATGTTATTTCTGCTATGAAATTGGTAAAATTTCAACAGAAAAAAATTAACAGTTTAAGTTTTCCATAGTTTGAATTTATACTGTAGGAATAACGAAATATTTTCCGTCATTTCATGAAATTATTTATTATTTTGTAGAACGTCTCAATTAAGATTGTGGAATTTAAAACACAAGGAAAAATATTCTAAGAATGAGGAAAATATTCATTTAGAACCTAGATTTAAATAAAATAAAATACAATCGTGTTTTCTCAAACAATCATATTTATTAATATAAAAAAAAAAACAAACTACAACAACATGTTGCCAAACATTTTATTTAATTCTTATAAGATATAAAAGACAATAAATACGATAGATTTCATTTGAATTTTATTTTTATATGTATTTTTGTTCCACTTCCTGGGCATGATTATCGATAATAAAGACCGTTGATTGCTAGTCAGAGGAAACGCGGACTGAAACCCACGATCATAAAAAATTCGATATTAGCAACATTTTTTCTTGCATTTTATTATGAAAATAAAAGATATAATGTAGAATAATCCTTTTTTTATATAATTTCAATTTAGTATTAGTTGCTTATGTCTGTTTATCGAATGTTTTATCTTAAATACCTGCATGTCAAGGAGCAAAAGATCGCCAACTTTGCCAGTGAATAAATCCCGATTTGTACAATAAAGTTGTATTTTTGTAAAATACAAACTCTAAAAACACCTTTAATCTATCATTTCCGAGTGGTTTTACATTTGCCAAATAATCCGTTACTTTGCACCGGCGATTTTTGTAAACCCCTACTTTTTGCGTGAAATACGCACATTTTTAAGCATCTGCGCATGCTCGTACCCCCGTTTGGGGGTATGGATTTCCCATTTCCGTTTACCCCCGTTCGGGGGTTCGACCAGACTGATCAGTGAATTTATTCCCACGGTCTTTTTATGGCAAAATATTATAGAATACTAAAGAAATTTCCGTTTAACACTGTTAGACATAGTATGAATTACCCCCTAAAAGTTTTGTTTGAGATATTCTCTACTCTAAAATTTCAAGAAGTGACTCAAACGATCCTAATTCACAGACCGCCGAAGTTTCTAGATCCCCATATCCGAACTCCCCCGCACCTAGTCTAGTGATGGTGTAGGAACTTGTACATTGATTTAAAAAAAAAAAAAACTACATTATTCCTATTTTCTAATTAATATTTTTATTCATATTGAAATAATAATATTTCTTTACCATATTTATTGTAGCATTCAGAATTGAATATTTATTTTGTCATGACAAATGCATAATTAAATAGTTTTATGCTATTTCTCATTCAGGATATAGTATTTTA